GCCAATATCCCTGATGAACACAGACACAAAAATCCTCAACAAAATAACAGCCTAATTCAACTATACATAAAAAGGATCATATATCATGAGCAAGTGGGATTTATTCCAGGGATACGAAGATTGTTCAACATATGCAAATCAATCAATGTGATACACCACATAAACAAAAGGAAGGATAAAAAACACATAATCAGCCCTGGCCGGTTTGGCTCAGCAGTTGGAGGGTCGGCCTGTGGATCAGAGTTCTGGGTTTGGTTTCCGCTAGGGGCACATACAAAAAAAAAAAAACACACCACATTATCATATCACATAATCGTATCAATAGGTGCAGAAAAGGCATCTGATAAAATTCAACATCCGTTTATGATAAAGACTCTCAACAAGGTGGCTATAGGAGAACAGACCTCATTATAATAAAGGGCATATATGACAAACCCACAGCTCACGTCACACTCGATGGTGAAAAGCTGAAAGCTTTTCCTGCAAGATCAGCAACAAGACAAAGATGCCCACTCTTGCCACTTTTATCCAACCGAGTATTGGAAGTTCTAGCACAACAATTAGTATAGCAAGAAAAAAATAAAAAGTATCCAAATCAAAAAGAAAGAAGTAAAACTGTCATTATTTGCAGATGACATGATACTATATATAGAAAACCCTGAAGACTCCACCAAAAAAAAAAAACTGTTAGAACTAACAAATGTACTTAGAAAAGTTACAGGATACAAAATTAACATACAGAAATCTGTGATGTTCTGATACAATAATAATGAACTACAATAAAGAGAAATTAATAAAATAATCCCATTTACACCAAAAAGAATAAAATACCTAGAAATACATTTAATCAAGGAGGTAAAAACCAGTACACAGAAAACTATAAGACATGATGAAAGAAACTGAAGACACGAATAAATGAAAGCTATTCCGTGCTCATGGATTTTAAGAATTAATATTGTTAAAATGTCCATATTACCCAAAGCAATCTACAGATTTAGTGCAAACCCTATCAAAATTACAAGGCATCTTTTCAGAGAATTAGAACAAATGACTCTAAACTTTGTATGGAATGACTCAAGATCCCAAATGCCCAAAGTCACCTTGAGAAAAAAGAACAAAGCTGGAGGTATCATGCTCCCTGATTCAAACTCTATTACAAAGTGATAGTAATCAAAATAGTGTGACATTGACATAAAAACAGACACACATACCAATGGAATAGAAGAACCCAGAAATAAACCTACATGTATATGGACAATTAATTTACAACAAAGAAGCCAAGAACATACAATGAAGAAAGGACAGTCTCTTTAATAACAAAAATATGGCCTGGTTGGTGTGGCTCAGTGGTTGAGTGTTGACCCATGCACCAAGAGGTTGCCAGTTTGACTCCAGGTCAGGGCACATGCCCAGGTTGTGGGCCTGATCCCCAGTGGGGGCACGAAGGAGGTGGCCAATCGATGATCTCTCTCATTGATCTTTCTCTCTCTCCCTCTCCCTTCCTCTCTCTCTAAAATCAATAAAGAAAAAGAAGTTAGATAAAGATGCTAGACATCATTAGTCATCAGGTAATATACTACTTCACAACTACTAAGACAGTAGAATAAAAAAGCCAGATAAAGTGTTATCAAGGATGTAAATAAATCAAAACTCTCATACCCTAATGGAGGAAATGCATAATGATCCAGCTGCTTTGGAAAACAGTCCGGCAGCTCTTCAAATAATTAAACACAGAGTTACAATATTACCCAGCAATTCCATGGCTAGGTAAATAATACCCAAGAAAAATGAAAGCTTATGTCCACATGGAAACATGTACATCAATGTTTTATGTCCTCATGGACAGGGACCTACAATTGCTTGCTCAGTCTTGCCCAGTTTGTGGATTGTGCCTGACCAAACGAGGTTCATTAGGGGCCTTACCCCACAAGCAAGAAAGACATGTAATTACTCCTGTCCCATTCCCACAACACCTGCTTTCAACTTTCTCAACCTGTCTATGCCAAAAACTTGGAATTCTGCTAATTTTTATAGAGGAATCCTGTATACCCTGGAACTGGTATCCTGGTCAAAACACCAGCTTCCCGGGCTGGGTTCCTAACATCCTCCCAAATTTATACTCATCCTATGGACCAGCTCATATATTCTTCCAAGTGGTAAATGAAGACCTATGACAAACTAGATACACTCCTAGAAACTGCACTGTGATTACCAACTAAACCTTGAGATAGTCTAGGAATCCTATGTGCTAATCACAACGAGCATCTCACAATTCCAGAGCACAAATACTCTTTCAGAACTCCATGGCTGCACATGCAGCTCCCTCTCCTGACATGGCCACTGTGCCCTGCTCTACCTGGAATCGCCTTCACATTTACTTTTCCTCTGTGACGTGTCTCAAAAATTAGTATAACCCTGGCCGGTTTGGCTCAGTGGTTAAAGTGACAGTCCACAAACCTAAGGGTCATGGGTTCCATTCCTGGTCAAGGGCATGTACCTGGGTTGCAGGTTCAACCCCTGGCCCCCGTCCAGGTCGTTCAGGAGGCAACCAATCGATGGGTCTCTCTCACATCACTGTTTCTCTCTCTCTCTCCCTCTCCCTCTCTCTCTCTCTCTCTCTCTCACCCTCCCTCCCTCCCTCCCTCCCTTCCATTCTCTCTAAAACTCAATGGAAAAATATCCTCAGGTGAGGATTAACAAAAAAACAAAACATTAGTATAGCCTCTGTCTCTGCTATTATGGTCAAAAGACCAATAGCTAAGAGTATAATCTCTGGAATAAGCAAGCCTGAGTTCAAACTTCACTCTACCACTTAATGTATGACCGTGTCAAGTTTCTCAACCATTCCGCATTGTTCTTCTCACTTATAGAAAGGAGGTAATAATAATACCTCCCAGGGTTGTTATGAGGATTAAATGAGAGAATATGCAACATGTAATATGTATATAACAGTACAAGCCCAGCACGGTTTATTGCTTCTATCTCAGTCAATCTGATGGTATCATATTTGTTTACAGGCATCTTTCCTACCGGTCCCTTAGCTTCTCAAAGGTGTAAAGTTTCTTATTCCTTCTCATATTTATAACATATTATACAGTGCTACACTTAGGTACATAAAAGAGACCAATGAATGAGTGAAAAATAAAACCATTAGTCCAGCAACATCAACGAGTATGGGAACCATGTTTATAATATAAAAATCAGAGCACATGGTTAATGGGTATACTGAATATCTGAAATTAGGTCTGCTCTGGAAAATCCAAGTTGTTTGCAAATCTAGATAGACTACAAATGCTTAGCAGTTAGGGTGATTACATAAACAATAGCATTACAATACAGGGACTTTTATATAACTATAACAGGTTTCTACTGATACCTGAAAGAGTCTGGACAAAACTCTAAGCAACAAAAAAGAGCAGAAGAATATGTATGCATGGAAGCATTACAGAGCTGTTCAAGGAGTGATCACCAAAGAGAACAAACTTTTTGTGTGTATCTAAAACACATGGTGAAAGAATCTTATATCTTTAAAATTAATTTTGAGTCTAGAGACAGTTTAATATAAGAAAAATGCCTGTCATGTCTTTATATAAGAAATAAAATCAATGGAACAGAGATTCCAAAACTCGCAATCCCTTAAATAGGACATAGTGAGAAGGGTCAAGTTTTTCCATTACTATAATTCTGAATAGGTAAGTTTCCTGATATAAAAAAAAATCCATTTACCATTCTTATGGTTAATTCCATTATTTCCTAAGTACTTTTAAGGCCAATCATTTATTTTGTTCATATCAGGGACAATCAACAGCTTGATTAAATTAACTATTCAAAGTTCTCCCTAGGTAAGTCTTTTTCCTTTGGTACAATTAAAAAATAAAATCTAAAATGCATAAATTTGTTCACAAAGAAGATCTTCAACAAGTTTTTCATTCATTTTTCCTTAAAGAGTTCCCCCCAAAATTAGAACCCAACTCACAGAAAATAAAGAAAAAAATACCATACTTGCTCAAGCACAGAGCATGTTTTTTATATCAACTTATTTTAAACATATATATACTCACAGAGATATGTCAATATCTAAATATGCATATCTATATACACACATCAGAGAAAAATTAAGTCATGAATCCATCTTTTACTGACTTGTAACTCTGTACAAGTCAATAAAATAATGCCAGCAATAGCATCCTCTAATAACTAGGCAATGATGAGTACTCTAATTGGACTCTAACAAACCAAATATGCACTCATCTCAACACTCCATCTTTCTTGCTATCAACATTTCTTAGCTTATAAGGAAAGAAGACAGGTAAAAAGTATGGGTTGAAATTTACTCCCAATAGTTTATCTTCAAAAAAAGCCAAAACAAAAATGTATTATCTCTGAATATAGTTCCAATCAATGAACAGATAACCTTCCTTTAAAACCCAGTTCAACAGTCTAGAAAACTTAAAATTTTTTAAAAATTGTGTTAATCAGAATCTCCCATCTACTTCATAAATACTTTTGTCTAAAGAGCAATCTGTCAACACATGTAGTTTAAATTATTAACTACACAGCACCAAATCATTAGTATAATCAGCATATAAATTTCATAAAGATACTGATTGTGTTCTTTTGGGCATTTTATACAACACCCAGTACAAGGATGCTTATTATACATTTATGATGTTTAATAATAAAAATAAAGTGCTAAAACAAAAGTCTTTACTATGCAACTTGGCTGTCATGTATAACATAAACCACTGATCATCAGTATGTTTCTCCAAGTACAATTATAAGAAACCAAAAACAAAACAAACCCCATTCGAATCAGAAATTCTGTCTCCTCGATTCAAGAATACCATGTCATTTTTACATTAGACAGAAACTGTCAGGCCACTAACAGATAGCAAGTAACATGCAGACTTCTGGGGTATTTAACCTAAGCATTTATGCACCATTAACAAAGCACAACGCCTAGTATATTTCATGCACATTTTCAAAGATGTTTTCCTTACCTTTCCCATTTTGCCATGTAGTATACCAAGATAAAGTAAGGAACGAAGTGATAAATGCTAAAACGGTGGCTACAGTTCCATTTCGGAGCCTCATCTCATTTCACCATCACACTGGTTCACACATTTACGAAGTCAACTGAATCCAGTACTCCTGGCTCTGGGCCAATGAAAACAATCAATCAGAGAGGTTCATTTCAGATGCTTTGCAGAATAAGTCTGACTGCAACACCAGTCACTACTGCTATTCAGAATTGTCTTCACAGTCTTCATAGGTTGATATCTCAGGCTTTCTTCCTATCCAAGAGGAAAACAGAAAGAAAAACTTGTTCAGTAATGCAAAATATTGGTTTCTTCATTTATTAATCACCATTACAGACAGACTTTTGAGCCCAGTTGGAGAGTGTCAACTATGCACCAAGAGGGAGCAGGTTCAATTCCCAGTCCCCAGTAGGGGGCATGCAGGAGGCAGCTGGTCTCAATGTTTCTCTCCCTCTCCCTTCCTCTCTCTAAAAATCAATAAAAACATATTTAAAAAAAAAATACCCACACTTTTGGCAGGACTCAACTATTTCCATGAAGATTATTCCAACATCTAAACCACTCATTTAATACACTAGAATTATAGGCTTTTTTTCCTCAGGAAAAAAAAGCATCAAACTACATATATTCCCTCTTCGTTGGTTTGGTTGTCTGTGAAAAGAAAGTTATGGTTACTTATTTAAGGAGGAAAGTTGTAGGGCTCATTAAACATATAAGAGCCAGATTCCAAGCTGAGAATTCTAATGATCACACAATGGTTCCTGAGTAACATAATCTTCACTTTCCTCAGTTTTCCTATAGCACAATAATTTTTTTTTAATTAAGAAAACTGACAGACTACAACATACAAAGGTCAAAAAACCTGGGTCTTGCTTGGATCTGGCTCCATTGTTACCTACATGGCAAGGTATGTCACTTATATAGGCCTTACTTTTTCATTCATAAAATGTGAAAACCTGTCCTGGCTCCTCTTTCACACATTATCATAAATTATAAAAAGGTTACAGTTATTATTGCTATTCATCATTGTCAGAGAATAAATGTAATGTTTCCAGTGATTAACCTACTCCCAAGACGTAAATTGGGAATGTTTAGGCATTTAAAACATGCATCCATCCAGACAGGATACTGTGTGACTGAGGACCCATCACTTATCATTCCTTCAATTCTGGAAAACCAGACGATCACCATCCATCTAATAAAACTGTTGGAAAAAATGCAATGAAATGAAGTCCTTAGAAGTACTTGAACATAGCTGCCTAGCACATAATAAGTTCTCAATAAATGTTAACTGTGTTACAAATAAAACTTAACAAAAAAAAATAGAGCCAGCCACTGGTTCAATCCACTCTATGCATAGCAGGTCTCATTCTCTGGGGGCATGTCAAGCACTCTGAGATGTACATTGATTCTTGGTGGCCTCAAGAGGACCACAAGATGACTTCGCAATATACTGTATTACAATCTAGTATGGTGAGTTAATACACCTCCATAAAGGCCTACCAAGCCCAAGGGACAATTTCCTCAGTAGAAGAATATGACTGATTAAAGTGGCCATTTGCAGGCAATTCTGAAATTACCATCTCAGCTACTTTGTAAAACTGAACATTTCTAGAAATCTTTTCTAGTGAAGAAAGATCACTAGGGCACAGTATTAGTAACAACAACGACAGACACAACTCATTTAGTATTTCCTATGCTGGGTCCATTACATGTTTTAAATCTTTACAAAATCCTATGAGGCAAGCATTGTTAACTCTATTTTACACACAAGAAAATGAATCCAAAGAGAACTCTAATTTGTATGACTCCAAAGTCTAAGCTCTTACCTACCAGACCCTTTGCTTCTCAAACTCAGCCACCTGCACCGAAGCAGGAAGAGAGGTGCCAGGGATAGCCCCAAGTCTCAGGTTACATGAAGAATGTTTGAACGGTGTTAATTTTACTCAACAGTTTAAGTTGAGTGAATTTTTAAAAATTTTATATTCTATAACAAACATGGTTCTATTATTAAATAAGCGGCAAAATTCCTAAGAAATCTCAAAGTTTAAACTTAAAACTTTAAATAAATTTCTCACATGCTGTGGCCTTTGGCCAAGCCCTCCCCTTTGCATAAACACACATGCCCTCAGGCATGTCTGTTAATCCTCTTTGGCCAGCTCTAACTGTGGTAGAATATTCTAGAAGCATTGAACTCCCCCCTCCCACCCACCACTTCCTTCCTTACTCTTGCTATCTGATAATTTACAAGTTATCGCTGTTTTCTAAACTCAAAGTTATTCACCTTCTGAAGTCAAGACAAGTTAACATAAAATATGCCCATGTCTACAGTTCAGAATTTAAAATCTTCATGGCAAAATTCTACAATTTCAACTAAATTCCATAAAGCACCTAATACCTTGTCTTATATCAATAAGCACCCAATAATGAGTTCTGATTATTAAAAGAGAAGTGATAATTCAGTGAATTATATAATTTGTCATTTTAATCCTGGTGTGACATTATGTAAAATGTGTCACTTTCTGTTGCTATATACTAAGCTCTACCTAACTTCAGGAAGGATTTGTCCTAGTAAAAGACCTAAAAAATATACAGCTTAATAATTGATTAATAATTATGGGAAAGTAAAGAAGCAGAAAATCATAAAATAAAGAATATTTAAAAATACAGTTTTAGCCCTGGCCAGTTTGGCTCAGTGGTTGAGCGTCGGCCTGCAGACCAGGGAGTCTTGAGTTCGGTTCCTGCTAGGGGCACGTACCACAAAAAAAAAACACAAAAGTTTTATTAAATACAAATAAAGCCCATATAAAATTCAGTTTAAATAGGTAGAGACAATTAAAAGTGAATGAATTCTAAAAGCAAAGTAAACTACAGATACACTATTGGAAAACATATAGGATAATAAATATTGGATCCAGGATATTATTAAGCTCTGATTTAAAGAAGATATTTATAATGAATTCTACTAACAGGTAAGACCTAAAAGTCTCCAAGAGAACTACAAGAGTATTTTATTCAGAAAGAATGTAGTCATATATTTTTAATTAGGGTTTCCAAATTAATGAAATTTAACTGCACAGTACAAGAGAAGGCTCCAGACCAGAGCAAACTAATGATCTCTGTGCTCTTAAACCAGGAGAGGCTGTTCAGAGGCTGGACAATCAAAAGCCCTCTGGAGTGACTATCTCAAATAAGAGATAAAGTGACCATATTATAAAGTGTCCACATTCATAAAAATTTTATTCTGAGGCTTTCACTTTACACATTTGAATCTTTTAAAAAGGAGTGGCTAAAGTTACTAGTCATATTCTCCATCTGACAAAATGAAGGGAACTTTCAACTCCAGATCTCAGGCTGAAAAAAATGTTTTATTAACAGATCTTTAAGGACTGCAGTCCTGTATTCTATTATTACATAATAAGTTATTTTAAAGTGTTCTCTGAAAAATTCACTATGGTCCATGGCTGAGAACACCTCCGCTGAACATTAGACAGATTCCTTACTTATCCTATGGACAGGACAGAGGTGCCTGAAGAAAGAAAAGCACAATCATTAAATCCAAGATGTAAACTCTGTACTTTATACACAGCAATTATGTTAAAATTCACTTACTTTACATTTATAAAACGATTAATATTTTTACTTAATACAGCTCACATAATTTCATCATCCAGTGCGTTTTTGGATTTACACGTGTGAGCTAAAGAAATCAATGCTAGGATAACCTGTTAATAAAACTATTTTTTAAAACATTCAGAAAACCACAAAACGTGTATTACTTGATTCTACATTTGGGTTCTAAATCCAAACGGACAACGCTGCCATTATCTTGTATCAGAACTCGTCCCATACCAAAAGCATAACAGCAAAATGTATGGACAGCATTAAACACACACACTGTGCTGCTCCTATTTCGCAGTTCGGATTGTGAGCAACGAACGGGCTCGGAGCACACACGCTGCGAGGAATGAAGCGGGCGCGCGAGCGGTGTGGCTGCCAGTTCATCAAACAGCCTCTGAGACGTCACCTGGTGCCCTCTAATCTAAGGTCCCATGTGGGGGCCCTCAGGTGGGGGCTGAGGCCTGCAGGTGGCTGAGGGGCAGGCTGCCCTCTGACACCGGACCGTCCCCGGGTCCTCACTTCGCAGGGACACTCCTACCACAGCTGCAGCCTCCTCTCCTCGGGGGAGCAGCCTCTGCCTCTGGGCCCGGGACCGCCCCGCTGCCCGTGGAAATGCCGGGCATGGCCCCTCGGGAAGCCCCGTTCGGTCCGCGGACAACTCATTCCCTCTCCTCACCCCCCAAAACCACTCTTTCCTCCACTGCCCCGAAGTCCACCAACCCCGTGGCCTGGGCAGCGCCGGGAACGCACCAAGAGCCCGGCCGGCCACCGGAGAGCGCGCGGCACCCGGGGGCCGCGGCGGCGCGGGGCTGACGGAGCGGCCGGGCGCCCAGCCCGCACCCCGACCGCCCGCAGCAGCCCGCAGCGCGCCAGCTCCTGACCGGGCCGCCGCTCGGGCAGCTCTGTTACCGGCAGGTGGATCTCCGCAACCCCGCGCCTCAGAGCCCAGCACCGGCGCCGCCCCTCAGCCCCGCGCCTCTCGGCGCAGCCGCCCTGAGCCACCACCTCCAGGCCGCCCGCGCCCCACGTCCCCCCGGAAGCCCCCTCACCCTTGCGGGTCCTACCTCCGCTGCTGTCGAGCCTGCTGTGGCCGCCCGCCCGCCCGCTGCTCCTGCCGCTGCCGCTGCCGACGCCGCTGCCAGGCGCCCCGCCTCCCGCCGAGACTCCGCCCCCACTGCTGGAGCGCCGGCAGCCCCGCCCGCGACCCCGCCAGCCATTGGCCGCTGGGGCTGCGCGCCGTTCACTGGGCGCCCCCACGCGGCCAAGCCGCTCGCATCAGTGGCCCACGCAGCTGTCATTTAGGGGCGCGGTCTCGCAGCCTATATAATTCTCGTGAGATCTGCACGCCCCACCCCACCTTCTTTCATTTAGAGTCACCACGGGGTCTGGAGCGGCGTCCCGTTCTCTGGTCCCAGGTTCCGAGAACTTGAGGTCTCCCTGCTGCCCCACCACCACATCTGGCTTTAATCCTCCCTGATGTGTGCAGAGGCAGCTCAGGCGGCCAATAAAAGGCTCCTGGAGCCCTAGGCCTCCGCCTGGGCACAAGACCCTGTAACCCTGGGCTGCCCCAGCCCAGCCCCTTTCCCAGGCTGTCCTTCCTGGGTAGTGTTCCTGGCGACAGGTCCCAGGAGTGGATCCCATCCTAATCCAACAACAGCTTCCAAGGCCCTGTGGTCCCGCGACACACCCAGCCACAGGCTTCGTGATCCCCCATTTACCGATGAGGAGAGGGGTACCAAGGGAGAAGGACTGGCTTAAGCAACCAGAACAAGAAATATAACTAGAATTTAAATGCAGATCGTTTGGGTGCTAAAGCCTGTGACTTTTACACTACACTATGCGGTTCTGCCCCTTTCTCCTGAGCCCCAAATCCTTAATCTATCACTACTTCACAAGGTTTAAGATTAACCTCAGAACCAGATAATCATCTATAGAAAGCCTGAGTGGTCTGCCCTATTTTTCTTAGTATTCACATGTACTACCACTTGTGTTAATAGTAACTGCCATTGGGCACATCATCTTTTGGATACTTACCATATACCAGGCAATATGCTAACTTTAATTACATTATCACATTTAATCCTCATTTTTCATGAGGAAATGAGTTCAGCGAGTTTGCCCAAGGACGCACAGCCGCTGTTAGATCTGGATTCAAACACCAGAGATGTGTTATTTTAACCACTATAATAATCCTTATAACTACCCTGCAAGTTAATATTTACAGGGAGTTAGAGGTCCAAGATCAAGAAAACATCCTTGCTCCTGCCAAGCTCCCAAAGTAATAAATAAGTTCATTTTAGAGAATAGTGATTCATTCTGTCTGGTTTGGTTCAGTGGTTAGAGCGAATGGCCCGTGGACCAAAGAGCCGCTGGTTCGATCCCAGTCAAGGGAAGGTAACTTGGTTGCAGTTTGGTCCCCAGAATTTAAAAAAAAAAGAATATAGTAATTCAAAGATTTAAAACTCTAAGAGGCAACCATCAATCACAATGTTTGTTTGTTTTTTCCCAGCAAAACTCCTTTATTTTTGTCTCAAAATAAAAGTAATTAACAACCAGCTATGACATGCATGAGTTTCTCAGCTTTCCCATGGTGAGATTTCTCTACATGACTCTCGAACTGTTTTAAAGGTTCAGGAAGATATACGTGATTCCCCTTCATCGGTGGTTCCCCTCTGATTTAGGGGAGCAGACAAAAAGAGGTTTATCCACTATTCAGTACTATGAACATGACTTAAGCATGACAGCCATGACATCGATTGACAACTTTTCTGTCTTCTTGGAGGGCCTGAGAGCCAGATTTCCTGTATTCTAAGACAAAGACATTTCCAAGTGGTAAACTGGCAACAGATTTCATGAGCAGATGTAAGCAGCAAAGACTGTGAGACCGTTCCAGGATACAACCTTTGATCCATTGTTTAATATATCTTGCCTAAAATACCTCTTGGGAATGGACAATCCTAGACCATGACATGCAATGCTCTTAATGACAAACAAGCAAACTCCTAGCAGATAAAGAAAGAATTGCTATTTGACAATGATAGGGAAAGCCACCAAGCCACATCCACAGGATTGGTCAAAAGAAACTATCCCTATTTTACAAACAGAAAATGAGGCCCTGGGGGATTCATTTGACAGATACAAACGGTAATTTAGGCAGCTAATTAATGATCCAACCAGAATTCAAATCCAGGGCTGTTTGATTTCAGAGCTCCTACACCATCCACCACACTATCTCTTCTGCCCCCAGCTTCAGAAAACTTTTATTGAGTGGATGAATATTAAAATATATATGTTTCTCTCCACCATCTCCATTTTTTTCTCTCACTGAGGGAAGGAAATGAAAGCATTCACAAACATCTTACAAGCAGAGGTGTACGTCAGAGGAGAAAGGAAGCCTAGAAGGACAAGTTTCAAGTGCAGACTCAATGGGATTATTCAGGAATTCCCTCTGGATTCTGATTAGTGGTGATACCCACAGCAGAAGACAAAAAAACCACACACACACACACACACAACTGCTTTCCTTTTGGAACCTTTTGATAATTTGTTGATACTCCATCTGGAAGCAGAAGGTTAGGTTTTGGAAGAAATCTGGTGACTCAGTTACACTTGTCACAAACCATCCACATTTTAGCTCAGGATAGCTGGGTTTCAGTTTGTTGTCTAGAAATTGTAATGGCCTGGAATACAAGCCTTCAAGGGTGAGTTGGAATTGGTTGATCATTCATCCTACCTTTGCAGGTTACACAATCCTGGATTTTCCAGCCAAGTCTATGGTATTTGTTCAATAAACCATCAAAGGCAATAGTTCCAAACCCCACTAAGTTTAATCTACTTCTTTTTCTCTTTTCCATGAGGATTTTTCTTTTCTTTTATTCCCTTTTTGTTTCTTCTCTACTCTTGCAGTTTCCCATTTTGCCGTCTGCAGGCTTTTAGTATAGTCAGTGGAAATGTGGGAAGTGCTTAGGTAGGAAGGTCTGTCTATAACTTCATTCCATAGTCTTTCCATGCTCTGTGGAGACTGTCCTTTCCACAAACATTTTCTGAGTGCCTACGATGTGCAGAGGCAGCTGGTACCTAACCGTGGTATGCTCACAGATAAGTGAGAGAGTCAGGTAAGGAATTAAACCTCTAGAGAGTGTCATGAGCCTAAGGTCCTATGACAGAAGATAGAGCAGGGCCATTATTCAGATTCTCAAAGCAAAGAGGGCTTCCTGGAGATGAATCTGAGATAAAAGCAAAGTACACACAGGAAGCTAATATTTTCCTTTTATCACTTTTGATGGTGGGTAGTTGTTGGTGGGGCCATGCCTATGGAAATCAGCTTCTAAGAAATCAAGGTCTTTAGTTCTCGTCTATTTCCATCCCCTCTGTGTTAATCTAACTTGCCTCATCTATGAGTGTCTCTAAATGTTGTGATTTTGGTTTCTTGGCTACTAGCTCAAGTGGATCTTTCTCAGTCATAAAGGCTTCAAGACGAATTGCATCAGGAGGTTCTTCCTGGCACTTTAAAATAGCTTATTTAGAGGTTGTAGGAACCCTCTCATTTTACATGAACAGTGTACTTGATCACTGTAGTCTAGAAGCAATAGCAGAACTAGGACTAGGATGGGTGGTAACTCTTTATTAATTCTTTGTTAGCTGCAGAGTGTTTCAGACACAGAGTCCAAACTATTTCTGTTGTGTAGTCAGAGAGGGCACATGAAGTCCAAGAAATTAATGAGAGAATTAAAATAGAACCGACCACCACATTTAATATTCAACTCTAGGTGGAAAGTAAGGTTCATTCAGATGAAGGACAACAGAGAGCTACATTGTTTTTATTTTTTATGTTTACATTTCTTTCCCATGCCTTTGCTCATCTCTTTGTGAGAGAATCCCTAAAAGAAGATGCCTTTCCTATTCATTCACATGCACATTATTGGGGTAGATGTGCCTTCTGGTTATGCAGACAAAAGCCAGGCTGTGTGGCTACAAAATTATGGACTTATAAGACTTTTTCATACTTAAGTGTATGGCCAGTGGGGTTCACATATGTGTATAAGATACCACTAAAAATGTTCAAGAAAACACAAAAACAAAAGAGAATCCAATCGTTTTACTGAGAACAGGCTCCTTGCCAGTCATTCTTGGAACCTTCAGCCATGCCTGGTGGCAGGAAAAGTCATTGCCAAGACTGTTCAGGAGGCTTGGAGGGATCACTCTCCTCTTCTAAGTGGCTTAGCCACCACATTAAAGCTGACTCGCTGGTTTTATTGTGTTTGATATATATTCTGAAGGCATAGTGGGAAAAAAATTGTGTGCCTAAAAATTACAGAGCTTTGGAAACTTTTTTCTTTTCTTTTTCTTCCTCTGTGAATTTGGTACTTGTAGAAAATCAACAGCCCTGCATCTGAAATCCAATCATGCATAAAACCAATCTGAACAGTTTAATTGTGCCACTCCATCAGTACATTTCAAACAGGATTAAAACCTTTGCTCAAGTAAAACGCCCAGGACCATGACTCCCAAATATTAGACCATTTGAAGTTATGGGTATCTGGACAGCATAATCTATGTCAACTTTTTTTTTTCAACATTCAAATTGTAAAATTACATTTTATTTATTTATTTATTTATTTATTTATTTATTTATTTATTTATTTATTTAATTATTGTTACAGATGTTTCTCCTTTTCCCCCCACGATTCCCCTTCCCTTCCTCCCCGCCCTGTCCCCAGTTTTGTTGTCCATGTCCATTGTTCATGCACACATGCATATAAGTTCTGTTCTTTACCTCTCCCCCACGACCCCCTCTTTTGGGGATTGTCAGTCTGTACCCCACTTCCACGTCTCTGGGACTACCCCATTCCTCAGACTGTTATGTGCATTATATTCCACAAGTAAGTGAGATCATATGATACTTGTCTTTCTCTGTTTGGCTTGTTTCGCTTAGGATAATACTTTCCAGGTCCCTCCATGTTGTCTCAAAGGATAAAAGATCTTTCTTTCTTACAGCTGCATTGTACTCCATTGTGTATATGTACCACTGCTTTTTTATCCATTCATCTACTGATGGACATTTGTGCTGTTTCCAGATCTTAGCTATTGTAAATAGTGTTGCTATGAACATGGGGGTAC